TAGAATAGAATAGAATAGAATAGAATAGAATAGAATAGAATAGAATATGGAATGGAATGGAATGGAAAAAGAAGATGGAATAGAATAGAAGATGGAATGGAATAGAATAGAATAGAATAGAATAGAATAGAATAGAATAGAATAACAGAATTGGAAGGGACCTTGGAGGTCTTCTAGTCCAACTCCCTGCCTAGACAGGAAACCCTACACCACTTCAGACAAATGGTTATCCAACATCTTTTTTAAAATATCCAGTGTTGTCATTATATATAATCAGATCTTTTGATTGGAGGAAAATCTTATTAACGGAGAAATGGTTTTTTAAAAAAAAAATAGGTGACCTTGGGGATCATGTCGTCATCATTAATACAAGGCATATTGCTTTTTCTGGCAACAAATGGGAGCAGAAAGTATACTCATCACATACTGGGTAAGTTTTCCATAATCCTAAATCTACAAAAATGAATGTTTCCAAAACATAGTATCATTGTAAGTTACCTTACTTTTATGATTCCAAGGACATGAGTTTCTACTTTTAACAACTTCTCATTCAGCGATCATTTGTATTTACGCTGGATAAGTTGTCATTATGACCAGTCCTCATACTTATGTCCACTGCAGAATCCCTGTGGCCCTGTGATTGTGATCTGGGCACCTAGCGCCCAAATTGCAATTACAATATTTGTGGTGTCCCATGGTCATGGGACCACAATTTGCAACCTTTCCCGCTGGCTTCTGAAAGCAAAGTCCGCGGGGAAGCCACTAGCAAGTCACAAGTCAGGGTTATGTGAGGTCCTTGCTTAACAACAGGAACTGGGATGATTGGAACTGCCATAGGTAAGCAGGACATTTACATGCCTTTTTGACTATGTCACCAATGTAGTCAGCATTGTTAAGCAACGAATTCAGTGCTAGTTTGTGAACTTAATAGTTATCAATAAAGGAGGATATTTGTAGCTCAGGGTTGAAAAGAGGGGTCCTTGGTGCTCTCTGAGCTTGCTTGTTTTCTTGCAGACATTACATTATCCAACTAGATAACATCATCAGTGCTAGTAAGGAGTGCTGTTTGCTGTCAGTATTTATATTCTGGTGTCTTGCCTGGCTGTATGGGTGGGGAGAGCCTTAGAGATTGTTTGGTTAGGCTGTTTACTGATGGCTCTTTGGCAGTTTGATTGTTGGTCTGAAGTTAACCTTGGAATTAATCTATGCTGATTACTGGTGGAGAGGTGCTGGAGTCTCTCTTTTTTTGGTCCTCTTTTGGGCTGGTTGTGTAAATCTCAAGGCAGTCTGCCAGCACTAATTAAATACACAAGATAGTAGTACTGGCTAAGGAAGGGGAGTAGACGCAGGAAGAGGCTTAAACCTGGAAGCTCAGGGAAGATAGGCTGAGGGCTTTGTTTTCCAAGTGTTTTTTATTGGCCACTTTCTTATGCACATTCTCTTTGCCTGATCCTCAATGAACTTTGGCTGTCATTTTTGTATTGTAGATACCCTGGTGGCTTCCTGCAACTTACAGCTGCTCAACTACATAAAAAAGATCCAACTGCAGTAAGTGCTAGCCTTTTCTCCATCTGTATTATTACTATTATCTCCTTTTTTTGTCAGATTTGCTGAGCCTTCCTTCATGCCCCCCCAACACAACTCAAGTGAAGACAGAAGTCCCTAACCCAGTCCCAATCTTATTACACTATGTGACCTTGTTGCACAATGCGCCAGCCCCACAAGTCTATCCTACTATGTTGACATGTGTCTTTAAATCATTTGCTGACCTTCTCTGTATAAGTTTCTGTCAGGAAAATGCTCCATGAACAATTCACCTGCCTTCATAGTTCTATTTCTAACCCCATATATTTGTCTTCTGCCTTAAATGACTCTACTTCCTCCTTCCTGTCGTTGATAGTCTTTCAATCTAAACACTAGGCAGTATACCTCTGTTGATGCATAGTACTCCTGCTGAATATTTGAATGGCCATGTTGCTTAAGTTGTTAAAATTACTTTAATTAAATAATAGAGGATTGCAAAAGATAGGTAGCATGATGATAGAATATCTATTCATGGTAATATCTAGAACATAAGTCCCATTTCTCCCTGTTAACTTCGTTCTATAATTTTATTTTCCTTCCCAAAGTCTAGCTATGCATCATGCTTGAGGTTATTTTCATTTGTAACTTTTTTTTTTTGTAGTGGTCGATTGTTTCTTCAGGCAACTTTCTGTCTGTTCTCCCCGCAAGCCCTTCTCACTCTTTGGATTTGTGATCTCTGTGTATTCCTTCATAACAGCAGAATTCATAATAGCATACATTTGCCTGTTGCTCCTCAACAGCCTCCTTCATTGCTACTGAGCTGTTTTCTCTTTTGCCATCCATGATCATCATCTCAACCATCCTGGTTTTGGCCAAAAAGTTTTTCTGATGCTTTCTGGTGTCTGATTTCTACTCTTTGATGATACATATTTGGCTTTGATGCTTGACCGTAGCACTGGTCCCTGTTGTTCAACTTAGTACACTTGGGAAAGAGCAGCAAAATCACCAAAAGAATTGCTTACATATTTGGCATTTATGGCAGGAGCAAAAAAAACAAAACAGGCATAAAATGATGCTATGACTAGCCTATGTGAGATACATTCCCCTAAAGTTTCACTGGCTAATATTTTATAGTTTATTTTATAATATATTGTCACCCAGAGTCGTTGGATACGAGACAGGTGGCAAATAAATTTTCTAAATAAATGAACATTTATTTTGTGGCTTATTTGAAATGACTTAGTTAATGTAGATAATGTGCTTTATTTATCATGTTTGTCTCTTGATTGTACTCCTTTTTTTATCTAATGGGAATTTCATATTGTTTCTTTGACATGAGTTTAGGAATTATTTATTCTACCCTCCAGTATTTGTTAGGACTGAATCTCTCCTGCAGCCCTGATAAGCCACCACTAACCAAGCCTGAACATCCTGAGTTTTAAAGATCACCTAGGTCAATCAGATGCTATCAATTATTAGGACTTGGACCAGATTATATTGATCTAAATAAATTAACTTTAATGCTAGTATTATTATCTAGTTAAGTAGTTGGCTTGTAGAAATAAGTTAAAACTTTACTTTTTTGATTAGTACAGTCCCAAAATTAATTTTCAGTTTTACAGGTAGTCTTCTCTTAGAGACCACAATTGGGACTGTCAAATCCTTTGCTAAGTGATATGGTCGCTTAACATTGCATGACCTCAACAGCCGCTAAATGAGTCACTGTGGGTCATTAAACAGGCATCGCATGTCTGCAACTTGCAGTTGTATTGCCAGCTTCTCCATTGATTCTGCTTGTCAGAAGCCAACAATGAAGGGCACAAATCACATGATATATGACCATTGTATATGCCTGCCAGTTGCGAAACACTCAGAACTTGATCATATGACCAGAGGGATGCTTTGATGGGCATAAATGCAAAGTCCAGTCGTAAAGTTATCTTTTCAGCACTGTCGTAGCTTTGAACAGATGCTAAACTGGGCAGTCATTAAGCAAGTTCTATCTGTAATCTCCTGAATATTATGGTGGTTGAACACCAGAGGGCAGCATAAACCAGTAAGACTTTAATTTTGGGGACATTCTCTTAATTGGCAAGCTCCTATAAACCACATTTTATTGTGAACAAAGTAGGACGAGAAACATTATAGGCAGTGAATTCAGAGTCGACACTTCCACATTAATTGAGTAAGATTAAACTATTTTATCTGGAACCTTATGATGATAATGGTAGGAGTATTTTTACTCATTTCAAAGGTACAATTCCTCATACTAGTAACTAAGAGTGTAGTGTTTGCTCTATTTGTAATTTTGTAAAATGGTTCTTCAAACAAGAAAATATTCGTATACTTAGAGTGAGGATTGCCAAACAAATCTTAATATCATGGTGGAAGCGGAAAGCATATAAAGAATCTTCTTGCAAAATATATATATTAGACAAATGTAAACAAAAATGAAAAAAATGTGCAGTAATGTTGACTTTCAAATTTTACTGTTTTATATGCATAAGCATTATTTGCAATCCAAACAGACTTGTTTAGATTTGAAATAGATGTATAACAAAATGAAAGTATTATCCAGCCATTGGCTGCCTTCGGGGGAATGTGTGGGGCAAGGCGTATACATTCTGCTGCCTAATGGAATCCCTTATAGAATTGGTCTTGGAGTTTTATGCACAGGTAGTCCTCGACATACGATTACAACTGACCCCCCCAAATTTATGTTGTTAAGTGGGACAGTTGTGTAAAGGTTGCCCCATTTTATGACCTTTCTTGCCACAGTTGTTAAGTGAATCACTGCAGGTTTAAATTAGTAACATGGTTGTTAAGTGAATCTGGTTTCCCCATTGACTTGGCTTGTCAGAAGGTCGCAAAAGTTGATCACATGACCCCGGGACACTGCAACCGTCATAAATATGTTTAAAGCATCAACAAAATGTGAGAGCTTCCTGATAGTCTTGGCCATGTTTCGTCTACAAAACTTTTAATTAATAGAAGCCAAAGATGTTTCAATGTGGAAAAGGGCCTCAGTCTAAACTAGGCTTCATTTCAATCTGATGCATCAGGTCTCTCTCTTTCTCTCTCTCTCTCTCTCTCTCCCTCCCAGACTGGCTTTGCTCTACTTTCCCGATGTGCCTGCGGGGCTGGCGCTTCGAACATACATGGATGGATGGATGGATGGAGAGAGAGGGGGGGGGAGGTTGGTAGATAGGTAGGTAGGCAGGCAGACCTTTTGGATGAATGTATGGATAGGTAGGTAGGTAGATTGGTAGACAGGTAGGTAGGTAGATCTATATTGGTTGGTAGGTAAGGAGGTAGGTAGACAGAAAGACCTTTTGGATGGATGGATAGATAGATAGACAGGCAGGCAGGCAGGCAGAATGCGACAGCAGCGGCACTTTGGGAAAGTAAAGCAAAGCCAGAGTGGGAATTGAAGTCCACACAAGTTGCCAAGGTTGAGAAACACGGGCTGAATATATCAACCCAGCCATTCTGGTTAGAGTTTAGCATGCTGTTTGATTCCGGCTTAGTCAATAAACCATGGCTAAGATCTTCCTGCTCCTTAATGCAGCTGCCTCTCTGCCCCTTCTCCAGCTCCCTGCCCCAGTTCTTTCTTTGGCATCCAATTTTGCAATGCTTCGCCCGGGAGGAGGAAGGCATGCGGAAGCAGCCCAGACCGGCGGAGGTGGAGGGAACGATCGCTTGGAAAGTAAGCAAGCAAGCAAGTGCAGGGCTCGGTCAGAAGAACCAGGCTGCAGAGGAAGGCTAGGTTCTATGTCCAGGCCAGCCTCGTAGAGCCAAACCGAACCGAGCCACGTGCCTTGGAGAGCCGCAGCTGCACCCACCCGCATCCTGCGCGCAAGCCCGGCTGGCTGGAGACGCGGAGGCCGGGTGGGCACTGCGTGCTCCCTTGTTCTCCTCTGGGGAAGGGGCCCTAATGTCGGACCACCCACCCCTTCCACTGCGCACCTTGGGAGGGTTTTGCTTTCGGGCCTTCTGGCGCGCCTCCGCCACTTCCACCAGAGAGGGCAACCTGCAAGCTAAGGTGACCCCTTTCCACCACCTCCCCCCCCCCCCCCCCCCCCCCCCAAGGCTTGGCAAGGCTCACCGCACGCGGGTTCCGCATTCAAGGCGCCGGTTACGGAGCGATGAAACAGTCAATGGGCTGCCTGGCTGGCAGTCAGTGATCCTGCGGGGCCGGCACGTCGAACACCCTTGCCTCTTAACGCCCCCCTGGTGGCCCCCTTGCCTCTTAGCGCCCCCCAAGGCATCCCACCGGCCCCCCCAGAGGGCGATACGGCCCACTTTGGGAACCACTGATCTAGTGAAACCGTAGTACTTTACAGTTGGGATTTGAATTTGAGATTTTCAGATGCTTAGCTACTTTGGCATACTGGCTCTCAGTTGCAAGATTATTTTACCGTTATAGTTTTCATTTTTTTTTTTAAAGTGTTCTCTCAGATCATGATATTCTTGGCAGTGATTCTCGATCTTAAAACCATATATTTATTGAGTGACTATCTGGACCACGGGTGTCAAAACTCACCACGTCATGTTGCCGTCATGTGACGTTTCATGACATTTTTCCTTTTCCAAAGCTGGGGTGGGCGTGGCCTGTGCCTGATGCATCCGGCCCATGGGCCACCAGTTTGACATCTCTGAGTTAAGACGCATTTATGTTTTGAAAGAAGTAGGATTTTCCTTTAATTGGATTTCATTTTTCCATTAATTTTCAACTCCTTATAGTTTAATAATAATGCATCTTTTGATCCATCCAGATTATTGTGCACAATAGGAGAAGTCGGTTCTTCCATGTTCTTGTCATTCTACGATTAGCGTTAACTACGATTAACGTTACATAGATTAGCACTGTAGGACTTGATTTAAATGTAATCAGTGTTCTTCCACTCCTACAGTTCTACAACTTCCTTTTTATCAAGCTTGTCCAAGCTGCATATTTTAATATACTGTACTTTTAGCTGTTCAACGTCTACATTATTTCAAGTTTTCCAAGAGGGCTGGCAGCCCAAGTAGTTCTCAGGCTCTCCAGGGCTTTTGGATCTGACCCCTCCCCTCCCCAGAACAGCCTCTGCTTTCAACGATTTGGAAAGCTTCATCCCCATGATATCCCTCAAATGCAAATCTTATGTACAAGCCAAGATAAAGGCACATTAAAAAAAAGGAAAAATGGAGATTTTCTTTGCAGTAAGAGAAAAGAACCACAGAAGTACTTTTCTGAAAAGTCAGGAATCTCGGTTTTGAGACAGGACTCCTCCGGAGGACTCGTATTGTTGTCAATATGTAGGAGTTGGTAAAATTGAGGCCTAGATCAGGCAACTATCTTAACTGTGCTAATAAAGGAGAATATTTGTAGCTCAGGGTTGACATGAGGGGGTCCTTGGTGCTCTATGAGCTTACTTGTTTTCTTGTAGACGTTTCATTACCCAAACTAGGTAACACCATCAATGCTAGTGATGATGATGTTACCTAGTTTGGGTAATGAAAGATCTGCAAGAAAACAAGCAAGCTCAGAGAAACATATCTTAACTGTGGCATCTGAGTCAGTAAACTATTACTCTCCTTTGTAAAGATTGCGTCTACCATGCTGGTCTTGGGTTTGGGTTTGTTTTTTTCCTGGCTGCAATAAGAGAATATATTTCTTTTGCCAGACTTAATTATGGCTGCGTTTATTTATTTAGAAAACATATATGGCCACCCATCTTATACATGTTAATCGTAGGCAGCTCAAACAACATTCTGTAAAAAGAATGAAAAACTCACAAAACACATCATAATTTCCACACAGTGGGACACTATGCCACCCGCTCTACTTTTGCCAGCTTCTCTTCCATTCTAGAATAAACAGATCTTCCCAGACTTCCTATGGCTAATGGAGAGAAGTTCAAATATAACTGTTGTCCTCATTATTTTTCCTATTTTATGTAGGTTTCCAAATATTGCTCTAAGCAACAAAGTATATGTTTACACAAAGAAAATTGCAAGGTGTTGCTTGCCCTGCCTACTTCAAAGCCATAAAAAGAGGTATTGAAATTTTTAAAAACCCTCATTTTTTTCACTTCTTAACCAGATTAAAAACTATTTCATAAGGTGTTAGGGTTCCAGCAGTTACTCCAATTAAATCATGAGCCTCGAGTCACACTCCCAAAACTAAAGAGGATTTATTTGAAGCTACCATTCTACGCCTGGCACTAACCTGGGCGTAGCCAACTCTGAGATACATAATTCACTGTCACCCTTGATCCTGCTTCCCCCCCCCTCACCCCTCTGGGTGTATCATCCAAATGAAAAACGTCCATAGCCAAGAGTCATCAATCATGCTCTCCAATTAGATTTTTTCACGGCAGAAGCTTCAGCCATCTAATCAGTCTTTGAAGAAAATATAAATAGAATGTACTTTCGATTCCACACTGTTGCCTGCTCTTTGAAACTCTTCTTTCTGTTACCAACTATAAAACGTGTATACAAAATATTTTATGAGTTGATATAAAGATCAGTAAAACTTATACCTGAACAGGGACTCTTTATTGTGTATTGAGCAAGTCTTAAACATCTGATGAACCCATATAGAACTTTTAAATAGAATAGAATATCCATAACTAGGGGCTGAACGGTGGAGTCCTTGATGCTGTCTCAGCTTGGTTTTCTTGTAGACATTCCATCACCCAATTAGGTAACATCATCAGTACAGGTAGTCCTCGGCTTACAACAGTTCATTTAGTGACCATTCAAACGGCACTGGAAAAAAAGTGACTTATGGTCCATTTTTCATAGTTACGACCTTGGCAGCATCCCCATAATCATGGGACCAAAATTCACATGCTTAGCAACTGGTTCATACGTGTGACCGTCGCTGTGTCCCAAGGTCATATGATCCCCTTTTGTGACCTTCTGACAAGCAAAGTCAAGGGGGAAACCAGAATTCACTTAACAACAGTGTTACTAACTTAGCAACTGCAGTGATTCACTCAGCAGCTGTGGCAAGAAAATGGGGCAAAACTCACTGAAAGGTCTCACTGAACAACAGCAACTTTGGGCTCTATCGTGGTCGTAAGTCGAGGACCACCCGTAATGAAGCATCCGCAAGCAAACAATCAAGCTCAGACAAGCAGCAAGGTAGCCACAGAACTTTTAAAGCAATTTGGTCAAAGTCTGTCCCATTATAAATACAAGAAAAACTTTTAGAGAGTCTGCTGCTTCTAGAACAGTGGTAGCTAAACTTTTTGGGCTCCCGTGTCGAAAATGGTGCACACGCGTGCACTTACACGCCAGTCCCCAGCCCTCACGCCCCCTGCGCATGCTCGCCAGATACCCGACAATCAGCTGGCGGGTGGGCGGCGCGCATGCACACACAGTGAGGCTTTTCTGGGCGACCTCTTGCGTGCCGGCAGAAGTGGCTCTGCATGCCTCTACCGGCACACATACCATAGGTTCGCCATCACGGTTCTAGAACATTTTACAAATCTTTGTTTGCACAAAGCATCAGTGGTAAAAGCTGGGAAATAATTGAAAATCACTTATTTGGTTTGAAGATCACTGAAAGTCTGTGACGTCCCTTTCTTGCCCGCTTTCACCTCACTGCTTTTTTGCTCATGGCTTTGGTTTGCTCTGATGTGCTTCACGCTGCTTGCTATTTGTATAATTTTTCTGTTAACTTTGTGCTTTGGAGTTGGATTCTAAGGTTTTGTCTGTAGATAATTAGGGAGATGATGACAGGGAGAACAATGATAAAAGCTTTTAATATTAGTACCCTCTTTATCTGGTTTGGTTGTTGACTGCTTAGGCGTTTTTCTACATGAAAAACTCTTCAGACCTTATTCTTAAAACGGGTACACCATAGGGTTGCATGTTGAGTCCCTTACTCTATATTCTTTATGTGCATGACTGCATTCCCACTCATGCTAGTAATACTATTACTAAATTTGCAGATTTAGTTTCCAAATTCTAAATTTCCAACAGTGGTAGAACTCATCTCCGGAGGGGATGAGTCTGCTTATCGAGATAAGGTGGACCGGTTGCTTTCATGGTGTGGAGACAATAACTTGGTCCTCAACACCAATAAGACCAAGGAGCTTACAGTGGACTATAGAAGGAACAGATCAGACATCCAGCCCTTGCTTATCAATGGAGACCGAGCGGAGCAAGTGGCCAGTTTTAAGTTTCTGGGTGTTACCCTAAAAGAGGACCTGACTTGGCTAACAGGATAATAAAAACAAGGACTATTAGGCTGAAAAACAGCTTCTATCCCAGGGCAGTAACTCTATTGAATTCTACTGTATAGTGCAATATTAATGCAATATCACGGGGTTTTCAATTCAATGTGAAGGATGTATATTTGTGTTTATTTTCATAGTCATAATGTACACTGAAGATGGTATTTAATTTTGTTGTACGAGGTGCAGTGACAATAAAGTAAAGTAAATGACATCTTCATCTAGTTATGAAAGGTGAGGCACTGAAGCATTTCCATTCATTCCGTAAGAGTTCCAATGCATTGTTAATAGAATGGTTGAGCTCTTCCCAAGCCAGTGAAACATTGGAAAGGCATTTTTGTAAAGGCGTTTGGGATGCGGTCTATCCATCAGAATATCTCTGTGGGCTGAACAGAACTGGAGTTAACCTTGGTTTAACTAGCGAAATAAAGATCAAGTTGAAAATGAATCTGATCCTGCCAACCCCTACAGTAGGAAAAAGGAATCCCAGATCTCATGGTCAGTGTGCTTTCCCTGGTTTGGATAAATAAATTAGATGTGCCAAGACTTGCTTTTGTAGAAAGTATAAAAATAATAGCGGAATAATATAGGATTTTTTTTGTTTTTACCTTGACAATGTTATGGATATTCTAAGCCTAAGGGGCAGTTCAGAGCACTTTGATGTTTGCAGTTCATTTTAAGCAGCCCTCCTTTGACAAACTGCAATTTTAGAAAGGGTATTCTTCATCTTTTAAAATTACCACATTTAGTTGTATCTCCCTTTTGCCTTTCCCTCAACGTTTAAACCTTTTTCCTTTGACAGTTTTTCATTATTTTAGTTGATGGTGTTCCAGAATGCCGTCCAAAGTTTTTCTGCACAAAGAAAGTTCTTCATATGCTTTCTTATATTTATTATATCAGTTACATGAAATTAACATATTGACATAGGCTTGTGTGGGCTAACAAATCCACAGTGATTTAAAATAATTTCAAATATTTATTGCAGTTTTTCTTCCTTTCAAAAACATCGTACTCTGAAGGAAGATAGCTAAAAACATATTTTGAGCGTATAGAAAGATTCCAATATCCCTTCATATATTTTGGACTGTGGTGAATTTACTTTGAAATGCTAATGATAAACACATACTCTAAAATAATTGATCCATACATTATACAATTCACTTTGCTTCAAATTATTCCCTCCTCCTCCTCCTCCTTCTTCCCCCTTCATGAACTCCTCCTCCCTCTCCTCTACCCTTTTCCTTCTTCCTTCTTCTCTTTTATGTATTCAGTTCCAGTAGAAATATGGTATGTGTCCTATTGAGAACCTGAAGAACTGAATTTTCGGTTACTGTTGCCTGACTGTTCTTATCAGCTCAGGAGTTTCTAGTCTAGTTTTCTCCATCCATAGTCTTCCAGATGTGTGGATTTCAATCCTCTAAATCATTTGCATAAGTCATGATGGCTGGAAAATTCTGGAAGCCGAACTCAGTCCTTCTGAAGTTAACAGTATTGGGGAAAGTTGTTGTATAGACAATACTGAGCTAAAGGCATTCATTAAACTGATTGAGTACAAAGCAACTTTTATGTAAGACAAACTCTTCATGCTGGCACTTGCAAGCAACTTAAGGAGAGCTCTCCTTTTTATTACTCTTGTGTTTATTGCATTTTTTGAAAGTAATTTTCTTATTTGTGTCAAACTGCATTGCATTATACATAAAATCTATACTTATTTTCCAGATTGTAAAACTGGCTATCTATGGAATGCTGCCAAAGAACCTTCACAGAAGAACTATGATGCAAAGGCTACATCTTTTTCCTGATAATGTATGTCAGTTGCTGATATTCTTCTTATGTATGAATAACAGCTTATTGTATCTTGCTTTCTTAGTCTTATAATTGAAAGAAATTAAATTTGAAGGATTCCTATTAGAAAAATATAATTTTGTGCAGAAGCTCATGTTGTAACAATTTTAGAATTACTGTGGTCCTTTTCTTTTGGTCCTGATATAAACTGATATGGATAATCCTGCAGAAGAACTATATACTTTTTTCATCATATTTTTATTTATTTATCAATAGCCAAGCACTCATTTTTTTAATCCACAAAATGTATAAATTAGCTTTTCAATTAAAGTAGGCTTTAAGGTAGTATACATAGAACCTAAAAAACAAAGCTAAGAATGCAAAATTTGTATTGTAATATGAAAACATAGCAACAGCAGCATATAGATCAGTCTTAAAATTAAATGAAAATTTATTTGACAAATTCCTGGTAGAAAATGTAAGTCTTTAAGCTGGCACTGCTGGTCTTTTTTAAAAAAAGGGTCCACACCAATTAATCTTGACTATAAAAATAGCAATAGCACTTAGACTTATATACCGCTTCACAGTGCTTTACAGCCCTCTCTAAGCGGTTTACAGAATCAGCATCTTGCCCCCAACAATCTGGGTCCTCATTTTACCGACCTTGGAAGGATGGAAGGCTGAGTCAACCTTGAGCCGATGAGACTTGAACTGCAGGCAATCAGCAGAAGTAGCCTGCAGTACTGCATTCTAACTATTGCACTACCACAGTTATTAAATTAAATAGATTATAAAAAGATCATTCTGTAATCATCCTGAAAAGAAAAGGCAGTAATTAGCAGAATTCAGCATGTATTTATCAATAGAAAGTCTTTCTAAATCAACTTTTCTCATATTTTCACCTTATGATAGCTTTAATTTAACATATTCAACGTAATACTATCCATCTTCAACCAGTGCAATCTGGCTGCGAAAAGGATACATACATATTTAGACTATATCAAGTAGAAGTATACTGTAATTTCTCTTTATTCTGCATAGACTACACTTTGTCGCCGGGCACTGCAGTTTAAGGAGTCAGAATGAAACAGAATAAGAGGGTCAAGTGAAACAAGAAGGAGCTAGAAACAAAACCTGTGAAGGAAGATTGAAGGAAATGTTTAGGTGTCAGAAGACGATGGATATAATATTTTGACAAGAAATAATTGATTGAAAGTTACAGGAAAATAGGAATTGAATTTTGGGGAAAAACATAATAATGAAAAACAATGAACCAGTTTGACCATGGATCTAATTAACAGTAGGGTAGATCCTAGAGAAGGCTAAGCAGCCATTCGTCTGGAACTCTTTAATTTGGATTGCTGCCCTTAGGAATTTGGACTCAATTGTCCAAGTGGCACCTCCCAACCTCATGATTCTATGAAAAGTATATGTTTGTCTCCTTTGTGGAAATGGTGGTATTTGATCTAAAGCAGGGTTGTCAAACTCAAGGCCCAGGGGGCTGGATTCTTAAGCAGGGTGCTTAAATCTGGCTTGCAGGGCTGCTGTAGAAACAGCAAAGAACTGGCCCATGGTGCCTCTGCCAGTGGTGCCTCTTTCTCTGGCAGAGGGTTGAAGGAGGCTGTTGCAGCCGAAAACGGAGCTCGGGAGGGCTGCATGCAGCTCTCCCAAGCTCCGTATTCACTGGCAGAGGGTATCAGGAGACCTTCGTACCTGAAAACGGAGCTCGGGAACCCGTTTTCTCTGGGCCACCACAGGTGCCCCGACACAAGTGACATCGAGCTGGCCACACTCACCCTGACCCCCCAAAGTCAACCACAACCCTAATGTGGCCCTCAATGAAATCGAGTTTGACACCCCCAATCTAGAGCACGAGTGTCAAACTCAATTGTGTCACGTGACATCATGTGACGTATCGCAACGTTTTTTGCCTTTGCAAAGCCGGGTTGGGCACGGACTGCGCATGATGCATCCTACGCGCAGCCTGTCAGTTTGACACCCCTAATCTCGAGGCACTAAGAGGTACAAAAAGGGAATCTACACTTCTTTTCAGCTATCTCTAAATAGCTGTCATTGAACTGAGCCCTCAAAGGTCCAGCCTTCTGAAAAATTGAATGAAAATTAATGGTTATCGTGTTTCTCCTTTCTTTAGGTTATTCCTGAAGACATTCGTAAGAATTTGGTCGAGGAGCTTCCACAACCCCGCAATGTGCCCAAGAGGCTAAATGAATATACACAAGAGGAAATCGATGCTTTCCCAAGGATCTGGACTCCGTAAGTGTGTCATAAAGGAGTATTTGTGATACTTTCTGCAATGGATCCTCTTCCAACAGATGCATTTACCTCAGTGAATGGTTATAAATTGAGGACTACCTGTATTTATAATCTTACACATACTTACATAACCATATGGCTGCTTTAATTTTTCTCCGGTGTGCCAAAATGAAATGTCTGTCTGCCTCCAACACCAAGAGGCCCAGGATAAGCAGTGGTGATATAAAAGAATAAGGTATTTTTGCAGGTATGTTTCCAGTCCCGCTTCATAAGACGCACAAGCCAGAAAGCAAAATATTTCAAATCGAGGAGCGCAAGGAGATGCCAAGCATGTGGTTTCAATTGATGAAAGAGCACACCTGCAAATGTTATCACTTCACAAATAGCAGGTTTTGGCCAATGAAATATGGTTAGATATATTGGAGAAAACCATATTGGTTTTCAATGGGATCAAATTTTAACCATGAGATAGTTTGCTTAAAGATGAACGAATGTAAGTCTAGCTTAATGCAGAGAATGCCTTGGATGGATGTGGATCTGCTATGGTTTAGCACTTCTTAAGTTCAACAGTCATAAATGTTGCTATAGGATCAGATAAATTTACTAAATTGAGTAAATGTTTCAGAACAATTATAAATCACACAAGACTCAGTTAAGGTAACCTCACAATAAAGTAGAATTAGTTTATTTGGGCGTCCTTTTCTATCTGGACTATCTTGGAAGGCTGATTGGATAACCATTTGTCTGAAATGGTGTAGGGTTTCCTGCCTAAGCAGGGGGTTGGACTGGAAGACCTCCAAGGTCCCTTCTAACTCTCTTATTCTATACTATTCTATTCTATATCACACATGCAAGTCTAACAATACATGCCTCCCGCATTGCCTTTGCAGCCTAAGAAACTAAGGAAAATCCCTTCCGTTTGCCACACCAACATTCCTTCTGCAGGCTAAGCAACCATTCCCACATATCATTACAGTAGGCAACCCATCAATTGTGTTATTTGTTCCTCTCATCTTAAGGCAGAAACCCATAAATGCTAAACTGTAAATCTTTGAAGTAAATTAAACAAACATTTTTTAAAAATTGGCTCAGTATGTAGACCAGGAGTTCCCAAACTTGGCAACTTTAAGACTTGTGGACCAACTCCCCGAATATCTTTGATTTGTCTCTTAGGTAGAAATCCATTTTGATATGAATGGATAAATTGGTTTAGAAATCTTTTTAATCTTTCTGCGATTATTGAAGCAAATATTTTGTAGTCAGTATTCAATAGCATAGAGCAAGGGTCCCCAAATTTGGCAACTTTAAGACTTGTGGACTTCAACTCCCAGAATTTTGGGAGAATTCTGGGTGTTGAAGTCCACAAGTCTTAAAAGTTGCCAAGTTTGGAGACCTCTGATGTAGACCATGGGATGTGTGATTGTCCCACCTACTGCAGCCCAAGGAGATCCCACCACCACCAGAGTCCCTTGCCCATTCTTCATTAGAGTAAATTGGTAGACCATTTTGATGAGCTTAAAATTTCTCTACACATTACTTTAATGAGAATGTTAAGGTTAATATAAGGTATGTTTGCCCTTGTAAAATATTGCCTGTATTTGGTAATTATGATTCATCAGGTGAAACACTACATTCAAGAGTCTATTCAAACAGGTTTTTTTTTTTTTTAATTTAAGGAAGCCTGAAAGATGCAGTGTCATCGCCAAACAGAATATGTGTCATCAGTTAATAATCAACGCATTCCAGTCTGCTTGGCTTTTTCATAGTTGATCTTAATTGCTTGGTGGTAACTAAAATAGTGAATAATTAAAACAATGTCCTTGTTCTCTAGTTTCTGAATGAGGTGTTTTATGATAGTATGAATTGTCAAAAGTTGTGGTGCGGCGGCCTAGAGATGGAGCTCTCGCCTCACAATCAAGGAGGCTGTGAATTTGATCCTTGGTAGAGGCAGATATTTCTCTCTCTGGGCATGAGGAGAATATATCTGCTGAATATAACTCTGCATTGGCAACAGGAAAGGGCATCCGGCCAGTAAACACTCAGCTCCATTCAGTTGCCCAGAGTCCATCCTGCAAGGGATTATAGCAATAGCACTTAGACTTTATAGTGCTTTACAGCCCTCTCTAAGCTGTTTACAGAGTCAGCCTCTTGCCCCCAACAATCTGGGTCCTCATTTTATCCACCTCAGAAGGATGGAAGGCTGAGTCAACCTGGAGCCTGGTGGGATTCGATCTGCCAAATTGCAGTAGGAGTAGCTTGCAGTACTGCACTCTAACCATTGCGCCACTGAGGCTCATTATGGAGTCATTAAGAGAAAAAGATGATGAATTGTCAGAAGTTGGGAGTAGACTTGATGGCATATTATATTCTCTTCTCAGGCTTCTATTGTAATCATAATTAAGGGATACATAGGTGCTAATGAAAGTTGTGTTTCAGGTTAGTCAGGTTACCTTCCACACCAATATTTAAAACTTGCTTGATTCTGGAGGAGCACATAAAGTATTGATTTGCTCTATTTCATTAGATTTTGGTCTGAAAATCTAAATTCCCTATATATCCTTTAGACATCTGTTTAGGATTTTTTTTTCCTTTGCAGATTTAAAAAAAAAAGTGTACTCTCCAGTTTGTTTGATTTATTCTGTCAACATGGGAAATAACCGAAGTATCTCTCATAAAAAAATATGGATCCCATCTTCTGTACTATTCTACTCTATTGTAAAAGCCAAAAAGTAGGAAGTTCATTTTGAACAAAAATGTGTTTCATAGCAACAGCCCATGTCATAAAAACAACATATAGAAAAGAAGTAATTTAGTGGGAAATAGAGGATTACATCAGAAGATTAGAGGAGATTATTGTTTTTATTACTCACCATGTTCTAGGTAGAATCAAATTATTCCTCATATCAATTTTTCATTAATTGCTATTAGGGACTCTATATATTTCTTCTGCTTTGTAGAAAAGAATAGAACTCTTTTAGTACACATCACATATTTTAGGTAGCTGTATTGGAAACAAAGTCTATTTCCAAAAACAGTGCAGGGTATTTGAAACCCAACGTACATTCTCATTGTTCCTTTTCCCATTAATAAAAATGTTATACCCACCATTCAATGCTAATGAATATACTGTCACTGAGATGTTAAGAGCAGCTGGATGGTGACTATGTGAGCTGTGCAGCTTCATAATATCCGTAAATATTCTACAAAATCTTTAAATTCTTTTTCAATGTCCTTTTATGTATTGGGCTGTACACATAGGTTTATTAATGTCCACCTGTATGTATATGGAGAGCCAGTTTGGTGTAGTGGTTAAAGGCACCAGGAGACTGTGAGTTCTAGTTCCACCAGATAGGTGGTGATTTGGGTGAAAGTCACTCTCTTTCTGCTCTAGAAAGGGGACAATGTCAAACCACTTCTGAAAACCTTGCCAAGAAAACTGCAGGCACTAGTCCAGATAGTTCACCAGGAGTCAAACAATGGCCTGCATACACACACACACGAACACACACACATGTATAATAATATCCACCTCACAATGTTATTTTATGGAAAATTGTATTGAAAAATATAACGCAGTAATAACCAGGTATCTAACAAAATAACAGAGTTGGAAAGGGACCTTAGAGGTCTTCTAGTCCAACCCCCTGCTCAGGCAGGAAACCCTACAATATTTCAGACAAATGGTTGTCCAAACTCTTCTTAAAAACTTCCAGTGTTGGAGCATTCACAACTTCTGGAGGCAAATTGTTCCACTGATTATAATTGTTCTAACTAGTCAGGAAAATTTCTCCTGAGTTGTAGGTTGCTTCTCTCCTTGATTAGTTTCCATCCATTGCTTCTTGTTCTGCTTCTTTCCTCAAGATAAATTTCTATTTTACCAGGACAAAAGGTCCCAATTAATGAATTTTCATTCTTTTATTTACAGGCCCGATGACTTTCGACCAACGTAACAGGAAGAATGTAAAAGAAGAGAAGGGAAGCTTTTACTACTCCCAGAATATTACAGTATGGCTGTTTGCAAAAGCATTGGATTATCTACTTTAAATTATTTTTTATGTACAACTGATTTGTAAAAAAATCTTTAATAAGATGCAAATCTAAGACTGTAGTTGGTACGTTTTTCTTTTTGTTATATCCTCCTTTTTGGTGGGAGAGAGAGAGAGATCAATAAACAGCTGAAATAAATAAGTAATAGTGTTTTCCTGCAAATAATGTGTATATTTTAACTCCATATATCTTTCTGTCCTTTGGTTGAAGTTTTATGTCATGCTTACTTCATTATAACTAAAATATTTGAGCAAGCTGAAGGCTAGACTAACCAGTGAAAGCACCCTTAATTTCCCATGTTAGAAGCGCTTCTCTTTCAGAAGACCGAACTGTTGCATTAAGTGCTGTAATAGATAACTACCTCCCTCAATCTCACCACCTTCAGTCATCCATTTTAGACCACAGGGATACAGGCGTAGTGGCTTACTGACCCTGGAGATGGTCTTTGCTCTGGTGGTTTGCATCCTAGCACTGCATGGCAGGGTGAATTCCCATCATTGGCCTCAGCTTCTGCCCACCTAACAGTTCAAAACAACGTTAGAGTAGATAAATAGGTACCACTTCAATGGGGAGACGAGCCGGCGCTTCATATGGACGGTTAGAATCCTGCTCATGCCGGACCTTCCCAGGTGCAACTTCTGTTTGTGAGGCAGCTTTAGTGGAGGGAGAGAGTCCTGGATGCCACTGCAAGAAAACCGCTGACCTTTCTTTCTGGTGCAAAGCTAGCTCCTTGGAAAGCATGCATGAACCAAAGAGGGCTAGCAAACTTAGGCAGCCAAACCGCTACTCTGCATTAGCATTGGCTAATGTAACATCGCTATATGCTGAATAAATATATAGTAGCCACAGGGATGTATTGTACCAACATAAAATAATTCTATGGATAAGTGTTCTGCTGAGTTAGTTTTATGTTAGCAGCACCCAGTCCCCACATGCAATGCAGGTGATCCAGTGATAATTTCTGTGTCCCAAACAATTTGTGATTTCTCTTTTCACCTCATCCAAGTTAGTGGTTATCACTACATCTTACAGTAATGCACTTCGTTAATTATGCACAGGCTGACAATGTTTGATTATCTCCTTCTGACAGAAGGAAAACGAGCAGTAGTGAGATTTAGTGTTCCCTTCTGACTATACTTTAGATGTCAGTGCGTAACATTGTTAACGTTAGAAGCAAGTTTATCAACCATGGCCCCCTCTAATGGTATACATGCATTTAAAATATTAAAAGCACCACATTCAGAAAGCCACAAAATAGTAACCAAGCACATAGCTCCTATACCTTTGCACAGACTTTTGCACAGAGGCAAAAGTATTCAAACTGCCAAAGAGCCGTTGTAGGCCCTCTAGAACAGGAGTGTCAAACTCACGTCATCACAGCGGCATCACGAGACGTATCAGGACTTTTTCCTCCTTTGCTAAACCGGGTGTGGGCGTGGCCAGTGCATGATGCATCTGGCTCGCGGTCCGGGAGTTTTGACAGCCCTGCTCTAAAAGATGTTTGTACATCTGGTTAGAAATCCACAGATAATGGCAAACCTCTGCCTGAATTGAGAATGTAGATACTTTCACTGTTAATCCTGTACTAAATGCTTCACGATTGTAATTTGTAGAAACATCTGGCAGCATCTGTTAATTTTCCAGAATTTAAACATTACTAGAGTTTGGGGGGAGGATTGAAACAATCCATATGTTCATTACTATTTCTGGCATGCCTACATACAACAAAACATTTAATGATAATTAAATTAGCATTAGTAGCAAATTGTCATCAGAAGGAATTAAAGGGATAAAAAATTTTCTTCTCTTGAAATAGCACAGTTTTCATAACATAGTTATGACTACCAATGGATTGTTCAGTTGCAAAACTGTAAAAGTGAGACTCAATGGATACAGAAGTACTAGATCCCAGTCCATGCTTGTATCAGGTATTATAAATGCAAACTGCTGTTTTTCAAAATTCAGAATTTCATTGAGTAATCCAGATTTAATGCCTTCTCCATTGACTATTCTCTATAATTTTCTAAAACTCAATTGTCATACAGTATAATCAGCATCCCCAATAATTTGTGAAGTTCACTTGCATTGCTGTTAAAATTACTAGTACTCCTTAGTCTTTAGTTTTTGGATATATTATATATTACTGACTATTACTGATAAAAGAGTAACTAAGGTAAAATCAAATTTTAAATTACACATTTGCATTAATTCTTATCCAAACAGTATGTTTTAAAAAGAGATCTATAGTATCTAAAAATTAAAAGTTACTCAATCCATTGGTGTAATATTAAGCTGGATTCTGTTGAGAAAAGATCTTGCAAGCAAAATGAAAATGTTTTGTTCAGAGTCCAGTGTGAGTTACAACCTTCAATGCTACTTCCAAATATTTGCATTCGTAGGTAATGAAATATTCAAGGAAAAGTTTATTACGTTGAATTAAGTAAAAAATTATTAATTCCATTTTTGTTGCAAGAGCCTATTAAGACAGATCTTACGAGCAAAATGAAATGTTTGTCTAAAGTCCAGTGAAAGTTATATCCTTCAACCTGCTTCAGGATGTTTGGTTTGAAACATTTAAGGAAAACTTTTTTTTTATTATATTAACTTAGATAATCAGTTGTAATCAAAATACTTTCAAAAATTCTGAGCCCACTCAATGGCTTCATGTCAAAACAATTTCTGACTCATCAGAAGCAACATTGCGGGATGACAATCAGAATTATCCTGAAGAAAGGCTTTCGTTAAATTACTGCCAGTAGCATGCTGAGATTTCAAGAGTTTCTGGCAAACAATACTAAGAGATTGCATTTATCACGGCATTGAGTGTCATCAAAAAGGGTCATCTCACACCTTTCCAACAACTTTTAAACAAGAATTAATACTGAGGAAAAATTGTATCATGCTAATCTCACAGGTGCAACATTTTTTTAACCTTATTCTAGAGAAATGTGAGGAATTAGATGCCAAAATGTGGAATGAGTGAATAAATAAATAGACCATGAACAAATATGGTTCTTAGAGCAGTGATCTCCAATGTTGCTGGGTAGAATAGATGTTTGACTTGCAGGAAAAATGAGGATATCCAAATCACTTGAAATTAGCAGGATTTTCCTAATTGGGCTGGTAATCAGTATTCACAAATTTGAAATTGAGGGTTAGTAAGATCAGACATACAATTCAATTTTGTATTGACACTATGGTCTTTTAAAATCAGTACAATAGGAAAAAATATTTATAAAAGTTTGCCACTTTATTTGTATAGAAAACAGAGTAGTATTAGACCCACAATAAATTATTGGTGCATTTCCAACAGGTATTTATTTTATGGGAATACTGTGGGATGAAAAAAACCCACTTCATATACATCTTTATATGGATAATTTAAAAAAAAACTTCGGAGAACTCAGACATAGTAGTAGCTAAAGTAGTAGCTTTAGTAGGTTTATTCTGAGGGAAGCACATATTTAAAATTTAGACAAAAAAATCAGAAAGCAAGGAATAAAAGAAGAACTCTCCTTGATTTAATTCAAATTTGTCATCTGGCATTGCAGTATTTTGAAATGTGCACTGAACCATACTCATAGCCTAACTATAAACATCTACAAATACATCTTTTGGAGTTTTCACTTAACCATAAACCGCTATACTGTTAATAATTTCTGCATGCAATGTAATTAACTCTTTTCTGTCTTGTCAAAATGGTCATGTACAATATAGGTTTTTTTTCTCCTTTAATGTATATGCTTGCAAACAGTTTCCATGACAACATTTAGGTCAACTGGACAGAGGCCTAAATATTAGCTTAACTAACGTACACAAAGAATATAAAAGCAGTTCATTGTGAGGTTTTTTTAATTGGCTGGTCGCGTTTTGGAGAGCTGATGCTTCTTTTGGAGATTCTCCTCGGAAAGCGGCTTATTCCGGCAGCCTCCATTTCTTCATCCACTGGTGTGAATTCTGGTTGTGCGATGTGAGGATAAGCGTAGGATCCTAGATAGGGCTCTGGCTGATCTTCATAAAGATCCTCGGAATCATACAGTTGGTAGGAGTTGTGGGTTAATGGCACAACTGGAACGTCTTGATCTGTTGGATCCCCGTAGCCACCTTAACCCACAAAGGAAAGACACAATTAACACAAGAGGGAATTAAAGAATTAAAGCTAGAACAGGGCTGTCAAACTCAAGGCCTGGGGATGGATGCAACCCATGGGGTATTTAGATCTGGCCCGCAGGGCCTCCCAGGAGCTCCATTTCCACTGGCAGAGGGTTGCAGGAGGCCGTGGCAGCCGAAAAAGGAACTCAGGAGACCATTTTCGCTGGCAGAAGCACCGCTGGCCGCCACAGGCACACCCGACATGAGTGATATAGAGCTGGCCACACACACCACAGCCACTCCGAGGTCAAACACAACCCAGATGCAGCCCTCAATGAAATCGAGTTTGACACCCCTGAGCTAGAGCATCTCTAGGAACTCAGTCCATTTTAAACATCAAATATATATATATATATATATATGTTTTCTGAGGTTCTCGCGGGTATTTGTATGTGGATCTTTGGTTATTCGGGTTTTCTCCCGCGTAAGATTCAAAGTATCTAGGCAACTGCTTGCACTGGCACCAAGCCGAAAGCACCAGCCTGAAGATGGCGAGTGGGACCTCGCCGAAACGTTGCCTAGATACTTTGAATCTTACGCGGGAGAAAACCCGAATAACCAAAGATCCATATATATATATATATATATCAGGAAATAATCTTGTAAAATTAAATAATCAACATTAACCCAATCAGGGAATTTGTTGTTAATTGTTAGAGCTATAGTTATATAGTTTTTTTTTTTTAAAGAGTACCTGCAGATTTTACTTCACTAGTCATCAACCATACGGGACGACGCTCATCTCCATTTCAAGGCCATTGAGCCAGCACTGTCGGAAGACATTTCCCTGGTCATGTGGCCAGCATGATGTTGTGGAGCGTTGTTACCTTCCCACCATAGTGGTACCTATCTATCTGCTCACATTTGCATGCTTTCGAACTAGGTTGGCAGGAGCTGGGGTGAGGACGGGAACTCCCTCCATCACATAATGCTCAGGTCTCAAACCTGGGCTGCTGGCTTTCCAGCCGAGAAGCCCAGCATCTTAACTACTGAGCCACCATGCTGTCTCAATCTTATATAGCAGGGGTGTCAAACTCATGTCATCACGTAACGTATTGGGTCTTTTTTCCCCTTTGCTAAACTGGGGGTGGGCGTGGCCAGCACATGACACATCTGGCCCACGGGTCGTGAGTTTGACACCCATTATATAGTAGCCTTCTAAAAAGTAGGAATATATACTCATTACTAATGTTGCATTAATCATATTGGGAACATGGTAGTCAATGTGAAATGTCATGCAATCCTTATTAAAGGCTTTAATTATTTTTTTTATTTTTTTAAAAAAAATAAAGATTTAGTCTACACCTAAATAAACTCTATACTGCATTTCAATTATATGTCTTGCCAAGTTCAGGGACCTTGTCCTAAACCATCAGTGCTGTTAGTTGAAAAAGTTTGAGGCAGTTCAATAATCATTTCTGATCTTTGTCCAAATGAAAGAAAAAACAAACTCTACCCGAAATCGGTTTCTTTCACCTTCCATATTGGTAGCCATTGTAAGGGAATGAGCCTTTAAAATTGAAAATGAACAATGGTCAGGGGTGGGGAAAAGAGGGGGAAAGGATAGAAGTAAATGGACAACAAAGAAAAACATACAGGTCAGTAAAAGAGGCCAGGCTGAAGTATATACATTAATCTTGCATTTTAAACCTACATGCAAAGTTTGAAGCACCCAGGCCAAATTGTGTCTTTCATTGAATTTGTAAGGACATCTTTCTGGAAATTTGAGTGCACAATTATTTGTTATGTGTAGTTGTTTGCCGATTCAAAACAACAAAGCAATTCGGTAGGTGCGGGACTTTTAACAATCAATTCTGCTTTGTAGAGTGAATTATTTTCATTTTCAAATGCTACATCCATGTTGAAAACAGGCAGAACACAATCACCACCTTAGCTTAGAAGGGTAAGATTGCTTGTTTACTAGTGACATTCTTCTATTCTCCCACCTAAGTGCGGGCCTATTGAGCCAATTAACGTGCAGGGCCTTATTAATAACTTTGCAGTAAAACAAAAAACAAAATAGCACCAATTCATCTAAATTTGTCCCCTGACATACTCACTGTTTTGTTTTTCTTCCACTCTGAATCTGCAAAGAGCTGCACACAAATAGTTAGCATGCATTCAAGTTTGCAAAAAGATGTCACATTTACTTGGATACCATATAGAGGTTTGTGGTCAACTTCCGTTCCCTTAAGGATTCATTGACCTTCATTACACTTTGATCGGGGATGCCTAAACTTAGACATGCCACTAAGTTAGATGTAACTAAACCTTAATTATAAAGCTTCTTAACTTGCAAGATGCAAGGTGCTTGGATTTCATGCTGCACAACCCAACACAACTGAAGGATCTCATGCAATTTATCTATTGATGCCAATTTTCCCTCAGTTCCTTTTGTGGCCTCTCTCTCTCTAAAACAGTGGTTTTCAAGAATTTCATTTGCAATCACATTTCCTTATCAATTTGGTTATCTTCGTGTTGTTGAAGCCTTGAGAGTAGAACATTCTCTTTTGGCAGCAGTTTGGTGGGGGAAGATTGATGGAGCAGTCAAACCACTTTTCAATACATTTTGTTTGCTGTGAGAGAAAATAACTAAGTTGAAACTTATGGCCGAATAACATCAAATCACGACTGTCTTTTAGAGGCAACTCTTAATATTTTTGATGGGATTTAGTAGATTGAAAACCACTGCTTTAGTGGAGGGTGGGGGGAATTAAAATACAATCATGCAGAAGAAATAGGATGTTCTTGGAAAGTGTATGCACCATTCATTTATTACGACATTATGCATTTTGGCTTAATAAGAGGCTTAGTAAAGTTTCATTCTTCCATGCTGTTTGAAAGTTCATGAATAAGAAAGTTGGATAATTATTCTTTCCTCCTCAGGGGAAGTACATAAAATATCAGCTCAAGAGATGAAGAAGGGAATTACATGAATAAAGCATTCAGTTGAAATGAAACAGATTGGTTGGGTAGCATAGCAATGTCATAATAAGTGCAACAGACACAACAAAATACTTCTAATTTTAATGTAACTTTTATAAGTTTTTTTTTCTGTTCCTAGTAGAAGGTCACATCTTTTTAAAACAGTTAATGCACCATTCCTTACTGAGTAAGCTTTAGTTCAGAGGTCTCCAAACTTGGCAATTTTAAGACTTGTGGACTTCAACTCACAGAATTCTCCAGCCAGCATAGCTGTTGAAGTCCACAAGTCTTAAAGTTGCCAAGTTTGGGGACCCCTGCTTTAGATTTACATTTGGCTCAGAAAGTTCATCTACCATATTTGAACCTGCTTCAAGATTCATCCTGATGTTAGTCCAAATGTATATTACACATCTATCAGAAAGAGAGGTCAATGAAATTTTCTTCTCATAGTTGTGACCAAGTAACCAGCATGGTTGGAATTAACACATATATTCATAACGAAATTTCTGCTTGGTTGAAATCATCTTACAAACAGGTATTTTTTTTAGTAAAAATAATAACAATAATAGCAGTTCCAAAATAGTAATGATTGCAACAATGGCTGCAAATATGCATGAAGAATACACTGAACGATAAAAGAGAGGCGCTGTTCTGTTTTGTAAACACCAATTCTCTTTCTGCAACAAATACCGAACATCAAAATCTTTTGCTACAGCACTTAGCTTTGAAGGAAGGTAGGGAAAAATAGAGGCAAAACTAAATTCCAAGCTGGAAAAGAATACTTACCATCTGTTCCATAACCGGCACAAGAGGAAGGATCGCAGTATCCTGGCTGTCCAGGTGTTCCCTGTGCCCCAGGAGGACCTGTGCGGCCTGCTGTTCCTCTGGGACCAGGTGACCCTGAAGGCCCAGGAGTGCCAGTTCGACTCTCACCTGGAGGTCCTATGGGATACAAGAAGCAACAGAAAGAATTTTACCACTGTCCTATTGCGAAAGGTCATCCCTCATTAATATTTAGAGCAGAAGTATCCAATCTTGGCAACTTCAAGACTGGTGGACTTCCAACTACCAGAATCCTGGGTGTTGAAGTCCACAAGCCAAGACTGGACATTCCTGATTTAGAGTTTGAACTGGTGTCAGAATTTTAAACTTTATCGTGCTTATTACTAGAGCCAGAGAGATTAACTTGCATATACAATGAGTTGAAAAGGGAACAATAATGAATTGATTTGAGAACAGATGCCTGCATTGTGCCAACCTTTTCAAATGTTAAATTGTACATGCTATCAGTTAATTGTAAAAGTAAAGATTCCCCTCGCACATATATGTAGTCATTTCCAGTGCTCATCTCTGTTACAAAGCCGAAGAGCCAGCGCTGTCCGAAGACATCTCTGTGGTCATGTGGCTGGCATGACTAAACACTGAAGGCACATGGAACGCTGTTCCCTTCCCACCAAAATGGACCCTATTTTTCTACTTGCATTTTTACATGCTTTCTAACTGCTAGGTTGGTGTTGTGGTTAGCTGGCAGCAGGTGCAGATGGCTGAGGAGAGCGAGGACTCTGATGAGGGTCCAGGACCATCAGGGAGTGGACTGCTGCCTTCAGAGATTGTGGGGGCTGGCAGCAGTGATGAGGAGGTTCCCGAGGAGCCTGTGCCAAGTGCACATGCACAAAGGATTGCTCGGAGGAAAGAACAATTACAGCAGCACAGGTGACTCGGGAGTAAGGCTGCAAGGTAATGGCCTCTCCCTCAAGAAGATAAAAGCCAGGTTTGGAAAAGCGTTCTTTGCAGATAGCAAAGAAGCTCTGAAACTCAACTGGTGGACATCTTAGTTTGTGTTTGGAGAATTTTGTAAATTAGTTCTTATCTCTGGGTTTTTGGCAGCCTTGACAAACAACTTGGCAAGGCTCTTTCTTGTCGGAGCTAATTAGTGGAAAGCAGCCTTCGGAACAGAATTCGTTATTAAACCTTAAAAGGTGGGGGCTGCTGCCTTTGTCTGTGTTTGTTCTTTGGGAACCCGGTTGGGTCAGAACAGTTGGCAGAAGCTGAGACAAGTAACAGGAACTCACTCCATTATGCGGTGCTAGGGATTCGAACCGCTGACTTTTCTGATCGATAAGCTCAGCATCTTAGCCACTGAGCCACCGCGTCCCTTGAACAGTTAATTATACGTACACGCTAATTGTACATACTGTCAATTCGTGGGCAAATCGCACTGCATAAAAACCTGCTTAACTCATTTGAGGCACATATATCCATGAAGAAATAAAAGTGGATGGAATACTGTACTGAAATGCACATAGAGCCATTCCTATGTATTCAGGATTTTTTTAAAAAAAATGCAGAAATAATTCCTGATGCTGGAAGGTCAGAAAGGAATATCTGAATCAGTAACCTATGTTTGGAAGAAAAGGCTTAGCAAGAAATGCCCTTCCTGTAAAAATGAATGGCAGAAGCAACTGATCTTCCTTATCAAAAAAAAATTGGAGCTCTAGAGTACATGTCATTTACCTGCTGGCCCTGGAGGGCCTCGGGGGCCTTGGTTTCCAATACCTGGGTTACCTCGTTCTCCTTTTTCTCCTGGTGAGCCTGATTTAAAGAAAAAGACAGAAATCAGAATAGATGTGGGGGGGGGGAGATTGATACATGTTTCTCTCTGGGCATATTTTATTAATTAAAAGGAAGGAAGGAAGCCAAGAAAAATGATTCTGGAAGTTGTGCGTCATGGAAAGTTGCTATACTAGATATCTGCTGCAGTTCCTCCTAGATCCGTGATGGCGAACCTATGGCACGCGTGTCACAGGTGGCACGCAGAACCATTTGTGCCGGCACACGAGCTGCAGGCAAACCTATCTCACTGCACATGTGAGCACCTCACAGCTGGTTTTCAGCCAGTTTGAGGCCTGTTTCAGAAAAACAGGAAGTGATGAAACGGGGCTAGATTTTGGCCTACAAAGCTTGTAGAAGCCTTCAGAAGCCTTCCTCAAGCCTTTGGGAGGCCTCAAACCGTCCGAAAATCAGCTGTGAGGCACAGTGCAGGTAAGGGGATGGGGGGGTGTGGGGTGGAGGGATTGCACATGCATGTGTAGGGTATGGGGGGTGCATTGCCTTCTGGGTGCTGGCACGTGAGTGCGAGCGTGCAAGCATGCACTCAATTTTTGGCACAGGAACCCAAAAAGGTTAGCCACCACTGCCCTAGATGGCATAGCATTGGTAATTTTAGACATCATCACTGACTCTCTTTGTCTTGGACCATATACAGGGAGTATAGGAGAATCAGTTAAAGGTGCTGGGTATGATTAGTCTACAGAAAAGGGCACTTGGGAAGCTAAGATAGCAGTTTTTCAATATCTAAAGGGTTCCAATAGAAGACACTATAATGTAGCTCAGGGCTGTACTGTGGAATCCTTGGTACTCTCTGAGCTTGGTGATTCACCTGTAGGCATTTCATTACCCAATGCACATCATGGCTACCTGGGCAATTCTGGGAATTGAACTCCATTACCCCTTTCCCCTTGAAAAGGGGAAAAAGCCTTGTCTTCTCAGGCAGACTGTCAATGGTCCAACTAGTGAACCCAAAATAAAGGAAACACTCTTGGGAGCTTTGAATCACCAAAAGTACAACTTTATTGGATACACCATTTTGGTACTGAAGGATCAAAACCAGCTCTGGTTTTCCTGCGCAAATGCTTGCTTGGGTAAACAGTACTTTCCCTTTCTCCCCCTCCCTGGGTGATCACATTGTCCAATTATAAGACGTCCTTTGGTTATGGGAACAGTCCATCTCCTTCTCAAGCACCTGCAGTGGTGACTTTGATGGTTGCCAGCAGGGGTGGGATTCAATTTTTTTAACAACTGGTTCTGTGGGCGTGGCTTAGTTGGTGGACATGGCTTGGTGGTAATGTGACTGGCTGGGCGTGGCCAACTCAACATCACTCACATTGAGGCACACATCTCCTCGCCTGGCCTCTCATGACTGTGGGGATGCTGCAATAGTCATAAGTGTGAAAAATGGTTATAAGTCACTTTTTTCAGTGCCATTGTAACTTTGAATGGTCACTCCACACAAGCAAAGTACCAGCAAAGGAGGGGGAAAAAACTCCAGAGAAGTTCCAGAGACAGGAAGTCTAGTCCTGCCAAGAATGTAGTAAGGGTTAACGGAGAGGCAGTTTCTGTAAGCAACACCAGAATGTTTCCTTCCTGCCTTCCTTACAGGATTAGGCCAGTAATTTCTCCTAACAACCGGTTCTCCGAACTGCTTAGAATGTTAACAACCGGTTCTAGCGAATAGGTGCGAACCGGTAGAATCCCACCCCTGGTTGCCAGGCTCTCATGGTCCTTGCACACATTCTCAGCATTCTATTTCCTCCTTCCTTCCCCCCAGTTCATTGGCAAGTTGAAAAGTGTTAGGTTTGAAAGAAGCAAAGCGGTTCAATCTTGACATAGACTTTTTAAAAACAGTATAGTTTGTTGTTTTTGTTCAATTGTTAAGTTGTGTCCAACTCTTTGCAAGCCCATGGATCAGAGCATGCCAAGCCCCCATGTCCTCCACTTTTTCCCAGAGTTTGCCCAAATTCATGTTCATTTGCATCGATGACACTATCTAATCAACTCATCTCATTTGTTGTCCCCTTCTCCTTTTGCCCTCAATCTTTCCCAATATCAAGGTCTTTTCCAAGGAGTCCTCTATTCTCATTTGGTGGCCAAAGTATTTGAGCTCCAGCTTCAGTATCTATCTTTCCAAAGAACAATTGTGGTTTATTTCCCTTAGGATAGACTGATTTGATCTTCTTGCAGTCCAAGGGACATTCAAGAATCTCCTCCAATGCCACAATTCAAAAGCATCCATTCTAGCTACTTTATTTGAGATGCTTAGTTGTCAACTTGATATACAATCCCAAGATCAGTACTTTAGCCATATGCTTATTGTGGATGCTCAGATCTGAGTCACCATCTTCTGTAAACACTGCATTTTCAAAATATTGCTGCTGAATTAGGCTGCCAGGAGCAAGATTTTCAGAGAAAAGTTGCGCTGCAAACGGGGAAAAAAAAATTTCTAACCTCTCACAATTTCTCTGCTCTGCCAGCAGCTCTACCAGAATAAAAGTCTGACTGTCTCAAATGCCTTGTTGGCAGAAAGGAAGGATGGATATATAGCAAAAGTAAATCCATATAAATATGTCCAGCCATCAGGCAGTATTCAGGAAAGCGAGGACGCTGAATTTTCCATATGTGAAGTTGGCAATCGCAAGAGCTATGGTTTACTGCAAAGCTTTATAAACCTGAGCTGACTGATGGCTCCTTTTCCATCATTTTTTTCCCCCCAGGTTTTCTGTTGCAGTCATTTCACTTCCTTTCATTTTGCACTACCTATGCATGCGCAGAATCAAAGCTGGCATTTCAGGATCAGCAGCTTATAAAAATAACTTTGGCAGAGAATCACTAATTATTCTCTCCGAATACTCCGTGGACATACTTTGCTAATTGCAACGGCTGCATGACTTTCTAATGGCTGTGAAGTAACTGTATCAGTGTTGCTTTTATCGAGGCTAATGAGAAAGAAACTTCCACAGCAGTGGAATTTTTGAAATACACTTGGACATATAATACAAATTGCCTCCCTCCCCGTGCAAAACCTGGATTTAAAAACCAGACGGAAGACATTACATTTTTTCCCCAAATGGGCTTCCAAATGGTGCTATCAGGTGAAGCATTTTGGTGGCAGCAATAAAACCAGACAAACTTATCTCCTGAATTGTCTTATGACGCCATTATAGGTCTGGCATAGTTAGATCACCTCACACACAGACACACAAAAATTGGTCCTTGTTGCTTAACAGCAAAAAAAATGCTAATAGCTTTCGAAAAACTTGCTGCAGTGGCCTGCTTTTCTAGTAAGGAATTATTTAAAAGCCCTTTTTAGAAATGGCCCCCCTTTGCTTAGATGGTTAATTTTTGTTTCCTGGAAATCAAGTTGATACTAACTGATCATGAGCTGGAAGGAGCTTTGGGCAGGTTGTCACTATGTGCTCTGCTTCTGTTAAGTCTCTTAGTCTCACTTCATTTGTTATATTCACTTTATGTATATCCCGCCTTTATTATTTTTACAAATAACTCAAGGTGATGGACACCACACAATACAGGTAGTCCTTGACCTACAACAGTTCATTTAGTGACCATTTGAAGTTACAACGGTGCTGAAAAAAGCTACTTATAACCATTTTTCATACTTATAACCATTGCAGCATCCCTATAGCCATGTGATCAAAATTTCAGATGCTTCTCAACTGACTCATATTTCTGACAGTTGCACTGTCCTGGGGAATATGATAACCTTTTGGGAACGTCTGACAATGGGGAAGCCAAATTCACTGAACAGCCATGTTACTAACTGTACAACTGGCAATGATTCACTTAACAGCTGTGACAAGAAAGGTTGGAAAATGGGGCAAAACTCACTTAACAAATCCCTCACTCAGCAGCATAAATGTTGGGCTCAATTGTGTTCGTCAGTTGAGGACTACCTGAACTTCTTCCTCCTCCCATTTTCCCCACAACAACAACCCTTTGAGGTGATCCGGGCTGAGATTAAAACTCGTCCAAAATCAGCCAGCTGGTTTTTTTTATGCCTAAGGCTGGCTAGAACTCCCAATTTCCCTGGGGTTTGGCTCAAAGTCATCCAGCCAGCTTTCATATCTAAGACAGGACTAGAACTCCCAGTCTCTTGGCTTCTAGCCTGGTGCCTTAACCACTACACCAAATTGATTCTCTCCCCTTTCAACCCTAGAAAAGTGCTTTTTTCCTCAGGCAAAAGAAGAAAAGTAGGAAGAACATAGCAAGAGAAGCAATGGAAGGAAGGAAGTTAGAAGAGACATAAATATAATAACTACCCTCTGGATAGCAACTTCCTGAACCTTGGCTCATTGTTTGAGATCTCCCACTCCTCCAACCCCTCATCACAAGGGATTTTAAGCATCCAGGGACAAATGCTTGAAATTAAACGTAGGTCTCTGATAAATGGGAAGTTACAATTTGGCCTTTTCTTCCGTGCTTTGTCATATTCACGTGGCTAACCCAAGAGAGACAAACAAGTTGAGAATAAAAGCTGAATCAAACGTAGGCATTGGTGGAATAAACTCTGAAAAGATAGCAGGGCTGAATTCAAATTCAAGGGTTAGCCAAACTGTACTTAAATTGAAATCAGAATGTTTCCATGGATTGTTGGCTTAAAATCTAATCTAACTGGCTTGTAGGTCACAACCTCCCGAGTTCTTGCCTGGCCAGAAGCTAAGGCTGACGCTGAATATTTAGCATTGTTTCAGAGAGAAGACATAGTCAGGGGGTTTGGCATAAGATTAATAAAGCAATTACTAGAAAATCAATCATCAAGCCAAGATCCTAGGCCAGTTTCCCAGCCTTTTTTTTTTTTTTGGAAAGACATAATTGTATTCAGGCTTAAAGGAAACCTGAAGTCATGGTTTTCCATTGCAATTTAAGATTCAAAGGACACATTGAAATTCTGAAGAATAAGGGTGGGAGCAGCTGGACTAAATTAACATCCTTCCAAAATTTGAAAAAGAGTATTTAAT